AAACGAACACAAACTTCTAAGACCCATAATCCTGTCTCTATAAAAGCCTTCAGCTAATCTCCAGTGAGGGAGACGGGTTTTTTGGAGGAATCTATTCCCCTCTGTCTCCTGTATATCGATATATAATAAACCTCTTGCTGCTCACCTCACCCCTGTCTCAGAATTGGCCATTGTGGCAGGCGCTCCAATCCGCATTATTGCGGTAAAAATTTACCTGGCCTCACCCCTCTCAGTACGATCCTTGCCTAGTTGCCAGATGATTTTCCCAATCACCGCCGTGTCCACACCCACAGCAGCTCACCCACCTACAGTTATTCCCCATAGCCTGCAGGACAAAGTCCTCCCCTCTGACCTTGGCATCCAAAGTTTCTAACCTTTTACCTTCGAATGCCTCTCCAGCATTACCTTCCACTATGATCCAGTCCCTGGGTGGTGCAAACGGTTAATGTGCTCTTCTGCTAACTGAAAGGTTGGAGGTTCCAGTGCACCCAGAAGTGCCTCAGAAGAAAGGCCTGGTGATCTACTCCCCAAAAAATCAGCCATTAAACCTTATGGAGCACAGTTCTACTCTGACACTCATGGGGTCACCATGAGTCAGACTCGACTTGGCAGCAACTGGTTGGTTGACTGTTGGCTATGATCCTGTATAAACTTTCTCTGCCTGCGAAGCTGATTTTCTCTCATCTTGTCAGGCCGTACCTTTTCCTTTCTTTCCCCAGTGGCCTGTGCTCGTAGGCGATCTCCCTGGCCCTCTCTCAGACTATCATCCCCTCTTTCCCTTTATTTAAGGCTTCCCTGTTTTTCATGATCCAACTCAAGGCTCAGCTCCCTCGGGTTGGGGTGGGGCCTTCTACTACAGGGGCACCTTCTGGGCTGGCTGCTTCCTAGACATGCACCACAGCTACTGCCACCTGGGAGGCCTTGCCCAGACCCCTCTGTGGTGAGGGCATTGCCAACTCACACCGTGTGCATGTAGCTGCGTTGGCACCCCTCCGTGTTTCCCGCTAGGTTTTGAGGGATGTCACTTTAAGACTGGAGAGGCACCCTGTGGGAGCAGGACCTTTGACCCCTAAAGGATTTTCCACCTCAACTGAATGTTCTTAGCTGCCTTCAGTCAGCCTCGTCTCACGGCAACCCACACGCAGTGGAACAAAACACTGCCTGGTCCTGTACCATCCCATGACTGGCTGCTGATCAGACTGTTGTGATCCATAGGGTTTTCATTGTCTGATTTTTGGAAGTAGATCACCAGTCCTTTCTTCCTAGTCTGTCTTCATCTGGAAGCTCCACTGAAACCTGTGCAGCATCATAGCAACACACAAGCCTCCACGGACGGATGGGTGGTGGCTGCATGTTGAAGACAGTGATGGTTCAGTGGTTGGATTCTCGCCTTTCAGGCCGGACCTGGGTTGGCTTCTGGCCAATGCACGTCTCAGTTGAATAAAAACAAAACAAAACAACAGCAAGGAAACAAACCTGTTGATGTCAATTCTGACTCATGGAGACCCCATATGCTACAGAGTAGAACCATTCCATAGGGTTTTCTTGGTTGTTTTTATGGAAACCAGTTACCAGGCCTTTCTTCTGCAGCACTGCTGGGTGGGTATGAACTGCCAACTTTTAGGTTAGAAGTTGAATGCAAGCCATTTGCGCCATCTGGGGACCTTTCTCCATTGACTACGGTCCCCAAATTCATCCCACTGATCATGCTTTTTCCCTAAACCCATTGTCCCACCTGGCCATGCTGCCCCTCCCACTGCTGCGATCTTGGGGTGCCCCTGGGCTATGGCGCTCTTTGCTTGCTGCTTGCTTTGCCATTCTTTGCTGGGTTGGCCCATGACTGCACTGGCCCATCCTCAGTATCCCATCTCCTCATGGAGCTTCGTTGGGAGTCCAGCCCCAGCTCCCAGCTCCTCTCAAGGTAGGCAGAGACATCTCAGGACGCCCTTACTCTGTTGTCCAGCTGAGATGGGCCACTGTGAAAGGACAGAATCGCTTATACCTCCTGATGCCCTTTGTGCCTTTTCTTGTGACCCTTACCCCAAGGACTTCAGGAAACATCTGCAGGGGTGGTCGTTTTCATTTTCAACTTCCTGACCACTGTTTGACACCAGATTCAAGGGGATCAGAGGATGAATGGATTTCCTGGGTGATGCAAATATTTAATGGCTGCTAATCAAAAGGCTGGCAGTTTGAGTCCACCCAGAGGTGCCTCGGAAGAAAGGCCTGGTATTCTGCTTCTGAAAAACCAGCCATTGAAACTCCTATGGAGCGCAGCCCTACTCTGACACACTGGGAATGACATGAGTTGGCATCGACAGCAACTGGTGCAGGTGCTGATATAGAATGAACGGTAAAACTCCTCTTGGAGCTGAGCCTTTCTTTCAAGTATTGTTGATCAGTGTTCACAAAGCCCAAGGTCAACTTTATTAGGATCTTTGCACATTGATAAGTGGTCCTCACACAGCCCCATGAAGCAGGTGGCTGCTGGTCTGCTGGTCTTCCGGTTCAGTCTAGGGAGAAGGGGGCCCAGACCTTGGGACAGAGATCAGATGCCCCTGGCCTCCCACTATTGTCACCCTGCGGCTGGGTTGACGACTTTTCCCAGGAAGAGTAAACTCTGGGTGGTCACATCCCAAATGAGCAGCAGAAAAGGCCTGTTGAAATGAGCATGAGGAGCTGCTGTTGCGTTCAGAGACGGAGGCTGGGAAAGGAGGCCGGAGGCAGCCCCAGCTTCGGTCCCCTTCTCGCTCATGTCCACCACCGCCTTGTGCGACACCTGGGGACAGAAGAGGGGGCAGACACGGCATCAGTTTGGGGGCCCTAGGGGGGAGCAGGTGTCACCTTCTGCTGTACTTCCTGCCTTCCTGGGAGGCAGCTCCAGCCTTTATTTCCTTCCTTCTCCTCTCTCCCCTGTTCTCCCCCTCCATCACGTTCCGAGGGTTCGCCCTGACAGTGTCCTTTGCCCTTTGACAGGGACAAATGGGCCTGAGCAGAGCCGAGGGCTGCCAGAATATGCACCAGGCTGCAAAACTCGGCAGCAGCTTTTAGGAGCATTCCTCAAGCGCCTGGGTACATGTGACACAGGCCTCGGTGTCATTTTCTGCTCCTAACAGCACTTAACCTCTCCAGCCCTCATTTTTTTCATCTTTGAAATGGGCTGGTAAGCCTAAATCAATGGTTCTCAAACTGAGCTCAGTGGGCCCCTAGAATCTTCTCAGAGAAGCCTCGGGCCAGAAGACCAGGCGGATGGTGTTCCGAGGGCCCCATCCCGCCTCTGAGAGAGGAACTCGTTTTGCATCTCATTTGCTGCCAGTTTCCTAGGAAGAAAGGATTCTAAAGCTTAAAGAAACATTGAAAAAAACACTGGCTTTGATAACCCCTTTCATTTCTAAAAAAAAAAATGTGAAAACATAAATCCAGCATTGAAGGTAACTGTGAAAGAAATTCTTTAAAAGGTAAAACTATTTCTTCTTTTTTCTTGTTTACCTTCTCAAACACACACACATGCACGCATGCACACGCACACACACACAAGACTACATCCTGATCGCTGCCTTGGTTATATATTCAACTCTCAGCTGGTTTCTTCTGAAGTTCGGAGCAAAGGCTCAGATGGTAATTAATGACTCTATTCTTAAAAAAAAAACACACAAAAAAAAGCAGACAGCCGACAACCAACGAGTGGGAAAGGCCTTTGTTGTTTTCTCTCCTATTATATCTCTCCCTTCCTATTTAAAAAAAAAATCCATTGCCATCAGGTAGATACTGACTCATGATGACCCCATGTGACAGACTAGAACTGCTCCATAGGGTTTTCTTGGCTGTAATCTTTATGGAAGCAGATAACCAGGCCTTTCTTCCCTGGTGCCTCTGGGTGAGTTTGAACCGCCGACCTTTAGGTTAGCAGCCGAGTGCAAACTGCTCGTGCCACACAGGGATCTTCCCTTCCTGTTAGAGGATTATAAACCCTCACCCTTCCTTGTAACTTGCAGTGGTTTTTGCAGAACACAGCCCCATCCATCAATACTGGCCTTGACTTTGGGACCTGCTTTGGCCAATGGCATGTAAACAGCCATGACATAGGCCACGTGTGAGGAGAAGCATTAAGAACTGTTGCACATTCTCTCTTGTCTTTTTTCACTGCTATGAGAATAGCATGTCTCAAGTAGGGGCCTCTCCTCTAACCTACATCCTGGAAGGAAGAAGTCGCGGAAGCAGATCTGTAGCCAGGTGGTTGTGACACACTTCCGACATGCAGAAGGCACTGTTACTGTAAGGCACTGAGATGGGGGGGGTGTTCGTTACTGCAGCAAAGCTGACTAATACTCCACTACTCTCTAGAGCTGCCATGAAGGTGGATAGCCTTTCACCACTTGCCCTAGGAGGAAGTATAAGCAATTAAAATAAAACTATTCCCCCAATATTCTGACTCTGTGGTGACCTGAGATGGGTCTACCCTATTCAGAACCCTGTATGTCTATCCTGAAGAACATAGGCGTCTAGAATAAGGGATGGTGGAAAGGGAGTTACCCACCAGCTATTTGCTTGGGCAATAGTGAAGAGAACCCTCAAAGGTTGTGTTATTGAAGAACCAGAATAGACAAAAGTAAGAGGAACTTGACTATCAAGAACCCCCAGCCCCACATTCACCCCTTACCCTGGAGATGGTTTTGTTGAGCTGCCCAGTGATTCCTGAGAAGTCAGCTTCTAAGTTGAATATGTTGGTGAGACCGATTCGGGGCAGTATCTCTTCCAGGTTATATGTTCCAGAAATGGAAACCCTTGGCAAATGCAAGTCCAGCAGACTGGAGAGAGAATTAGGCAGAGAAATAAACCCTGCTGCCGTGATCTACGTGCTGCATTAGCCTGATTGTTGGCTGCCTGACTGTGGAAGAGAAGCGCTTCCCCATCTGAGAGGAATCACTCCTGAGATACAGCCTGCGAAGGCAGAACATTCTGCTACCCAGAACCCCCTTCTCTCAGACCTCACAAATGCATGGCTGCATCTGAGAAGACTCCCGGCACAGCCCTGTCTTCATCATCTCTGTTGTATGTTATAGAGGGCTTGTTCGGAGCCAGATACTGGGCTAAACTGGTACAAGGCTTAGAAGATTGAGTCCATGTAATAGTCCTGTAAGATAAATACTGTTCATACTCTCTCACCTCCGTATCTGCTTCTTCAGCAAATAATGTTGGTTCAAACTTCCAAACTATATCCTAAATCCAAACACCAAAAAACCAAACCCGCTGCCATCAAATCAATTCCAACACATAACAACCCTATAGGATAGAGTAGAACCACCCCATACGGTTTCCAAAGAGTGGCCGGTGGTTTTGAACTGTGGACCTTTTGGTTAACAGCCAAGTTCCACCAGGGCTCCATCCTAAAACTACCCACTAGTATTCCCCTAATACAGGCCCCCATCATCTCTTACCTGTCTGACTCCAGCTACCTCATCACCACCCAGCAAGCCGAGCCAGCCCACAGAACCCAGAGAGAGAATAAATGTTTGTCTTAAGCCATTCCATTTGGGGATGGTATGCTGTGCAGCCATAAGTAACCAGAACGGAGGGCCTGTTTTTATCCCCGAGCAGCCCATGAACGAAGACTCATCCCAAGAGCTGGTGAAGGGGGCTGGAGCAACCAGAAAGACCTGAAACTGCCATGATAAAACCACCCACAACAAGCAAATGAAATAAAAGGCAATTGGTTAGTGATTGCCTAAAATGGACGTTTTGATTTTTACAATGTTCTTCTTGGTATTTTTTTAAAAATATTTTTTAATTAAGAAAGAGGCGCATGTTAAAAATATACACTGTTGTGTGGGAGTCATGATTATTCTCAATAATTATTCTCAATAATTTGCTGGCTGCACTCAACTACCTTCTGGTAGTTCATTTTTATTGGGAGGAAGAGGGGAGCAAGACGAAAGGAGGTTGGGGCCAGAAAGACACTCAGAAAGGGAGAATAATGATTATCACCCAGGTTGAGTACTTAGCACTCGCTGGGTACCATTCTAAGTTCTCTATAAGTATTAACTCAATTAATTTTCTGAGCAAGCCAATGGGTGGGCATTATGTCCTCGTATTTACAATTGAAGAAATCTAAGCCCCAAAGAGGTGAGAAAATTGCCCAAGATCACACAGTTAGTGAAAGGCAGGCCCATGATTTGAAGCTAGAATTTGGGCTCTTGCAACCAGAGTTGTTCAAGAACTGTTCGGGTTCTTGAGCAAGGTCTGCCAGAAAGGACTGGCTCTTACCTTGGAAGAAGAAGTTGGTCCCATTTTCTCAGGGTCTCTGGTTGCAGCGCGGCCTCTACCTGCTTCATTTTCCCTGGGTCAGGAAGGATCAGCAGGGCCAGCGCATTTCCACTGTATTCTATCTTAAGGACAGTGCAAGCCAACTCCTGGTCATAGAGGAACCTGTGCATTTCCTTTTGGTGCATCATGGGGACCTGGAGAGAGGTCCTCTCATCCACAAAGAACCTCTCCTGCTTCTGGGTCTGGTAGCGATTGAAAGGATGCTTCCACTTGGCTTAGGACACAAAACCCATAAAACCGTAAGAACATCTCTGTATGGATTGACTTGTGTCCCCCAAAAATGTGTGTCAACTTGGCTGGGTCATGACTGCTGGTATTGTGTGGTTGTCCACCATTTTGTGATCTGATGTGATTATCCTGTGTGTTGTAAATCTTAACTTCTATGATGTTAATGAGGCAGGATTAGAGGCAATTATGTTAATGATGTAGGACTCAATCTACAGGATTAGATTGTATTTTGAATCAATCTCTTTTGAGATATAAAAGAGAGAATCAAGCAGAGAGGAGAGGGATCTCATTACCACCAAGCAAAAAGAGACAGGAGCAGAGCACGTCTTCTGGACGCAAGGGTCCCTTCGCTGAGAAGCTCCTAGACCAGGGAAGATTGATGACAAAGACCTTTTCCCAGAGCTGATAGAGATAGAAAGCTTTCCCCTGGAGCAGGCGCCCTGAATTCAGACTACAAGCCTCCTAGACTGTGAAAGAATAAATTTCTGTTTGTTAAAGCCATCCACCTGTGATACTTCTGTTATAGCAGCACTAGATAACTAAGACAGTCTCCAATAGTGCAACTCTGGGCAGATATACGCAAAGCTACATTGGTTTGGTACTTCCTCTTGGGTATAAGTTTGAGGCAAGGAAATGGTGCCAGTACAGGAATCAAGAGGCTGAGATTTATGTCTGACTCAGCCACTAAAATGAGTCACCAGAGTTTGAGCCCTAATGACCCGTGATTTTGTCCCACTTCAGAGCAACTTAGCTTTTAAGAGGTCAAAAGTTATTCCCATCTACTAAGCACCTTTTTGGAGCCCTGGTGGCACATTGGTTAAGACCTGGGCTGCTAACCAAAGGGTCAGCAGTTCAAATCCAAATCCGCCAGCAGCTCCTTGGAAACCCTATGGGGCAGTTCTACTCTGTCCTGTAGGGTCACCATGAGTCAGAATTGACTTGATGACAATGGGTTTTTAAGCACCTTTTAAGAGTCCTTGGGTGGTGCGTATGGGTAGCATGGTTAGTTGCTAATCAACAGACTGGAGGTTTGAGTCCACCCAAAAGCACCACAGAAGAAAGGCCTGGCAATCTACTTCTGAAAAGTAAGCCATTGAAAACTCTATGAAGTCAGAACAGAAATAAATGAAATTGAAAATAGAAAAACAATAGAGAAAATCAACAAATCTAGAAGTTGGTTCTTTGAGAAGATCAATAAATTGAAAAACCTGTGGCGTGTAGTTCTACTTTTATACATACAGGGTTGCCATGAGTCAGAATTGACTCTATAGCAACTGGTTTAAGCAGCTTCTATGTGTGAGGCATTATCTCTTTAAATCTTCACAAAAACTAACACGAAACAAGTATTATTATCCCCATGTTAGAGTTAAGGAAACTGAATCCCTGTGAATTTATGGGAATGCTCCCAATTCACTTGTTTCAGTTCCTTGAAAATGCAGTAGTATCTCTTTTCTGTTGGCCTTTGCACATGCTATTTTTCCAATGTGAACACTGTTCTCCCCACCTCTCCCACAGCCTCTTTGCCTGAGTACTTCCTTCTCATTCTTCATGTCTCAGCTTAGATGCCTCCTCTTCCAGGAAGCTTTCCCTCATTCCCCCACTCTGGATAGGTGCCTCTTTTGAGAGTTCCATGGCACCCATGGATACTCAAGCAGAGCATCAGCATCTCATGAGCTGTAATTGTCTCTTTACTTATTTGCAACCCCTTGGGACTGGGAGCTATACAAGGTGGGAAAACTCTATCTTATTTGTACATTTTCCTTAGAGGTTAGCAAGGTCCCTAAAATGTAGTCGGTACTTCGTATGTGTCCTTGAATAAATGAATGAATGAATAACATTTCTAGACGCCTCAGACATGAGACCTCAGTTTAGCTTCAAATAATTCATTTAGCAAACATTTAAAGGTACTTGTCCTGTGTTAGACTCTGGAGAATCAAATTATTAAGACTCAGGCCCTTCAGCAGACTTCCCATCAGTAACATAAATGGAATTAAAGCAGAAAAACTCTCTTCTTGTGTAAACACTTAGAAACGATGCGTAAAATATTAGGAAAAAATAAATAGACGGCTAAGTTCAAAACCGAGAACGTAAGTTCCCAGAAACAAAGAAGGAAGTCAGATATCTGAGCTGGAGCTGAGGTCATCTGGATCCCAGTCATTAGGATCAGGTACAAACTTTAGGGAGTGATGCTTAATGTCTTCTCAGGGGCAGTAAATGAAATTCAGGCCAATGCTTGGAACTAAGCTCTCTGCAAGTAGCCAGGAGCTATTCCCCATCTGGGAAGACTGGATTAGAAAACTCTGCCCAGCAGCCCAGGGATGAAGCAGAAAATGTCACCACATTCCCAAGACCAAGGGTGGAAGAAGTCATCTATAGGGTAAGGTCTATGTTTTCGTGGCCCATACATGAAGGAACGAAGGAATGAAGGAAGGAAGGCAGGCAGGCAGGAAGGCAGGCAGGCAGGCAAACAGGAAGGCAGGAAGGCAGGCAGGCAGGCAGGCAGGCAGGAAGGAAGGAAGGAAGGAAGGAAGGAAGGAAGGAAGGAAGGAAGAGGGGCCCCTCTCTCAGAGTTTCAAGACCAGTTCCCCAAGACTCAGAGGACCTGACTGCGGGGTCTCTTGGGTAAGAGTCTTTGCTTGTGGAAGGAGGTGGCAATAATCACTTCCAAGCAAGCCCTCACCTTTGAAGAAGATGTAATTCAAGAGAACCATGAGTGTGTCTTGGCTGAACTCCTGCAGGCAGTCCGAGACTTGCCCGTACGTTCGCTTTCTCACGTATTCATTGATGTTCCTCGCCGTGCCAGCAGAATCTGTGAAATTGGCTGAGAAAGCGAGTGCACCATACAGCTCCTTGATGCTGTCCAGAAACCACTGCTGAGGTTTGAGTTGCTTGTCCAGGAAGAGGGAGTTGCCTACTTTTAGTTCAAGTTTGGGACTAGGCAGGTCCAGGGTGTGGAGGAGGCTCTGGAAGCTGTGGTGGAGGTCGGCTTCTGGCGTCTCAGTGAGGTTGAAGCCCAGGCCCTCAAGAATCTGAGTTGAGGTGTTAGCTTGGGCCCCAAGAGAGAGCAGGGCCAGGGTAGTGGAGATGCTTACCGGGGAGAAGAAGATGTTTCTGGGGATGTCTGCTGCGAGCTGCTTATACAAACGCAAAGCAAAATTGGTGATGGTAGGTGTGATTTTGTGGTAGGCTGGGGCTGGCTCTGAGAGTTGGTCACTGGGAGCTTGAGGCACCTCCAGACTCTTATCTCCATGTGCAGGAAAGGGTTGGCAATGGACAGAGGCCAGGACAGCTGCTCCCAGCAGCCATAGCCAAGCTGGCTCCATCCTCTGAAAACAAGATGGTAGACAGGTCACTTTCCTGCATAAATAACTCCATGGTTCTCCATTGCTTACACAAGACACCTCACCATTTATACTGTATCCCACAAGGGTACCATGGGGGGCCATGCAAAGGACAAGGTGGTAAGTAAGTGGTCAGGACCCTGGACACTTTCCCCAAGGCTTCAATTAGAGCTGCACCCCTTTATCTACTTTACATATTGATAGGTCTAGAAGGTATGGTTTAGTAAAGGACTCTGGGCTATAGAAAACTGCCATAATCTATTCTCCCTTTCTCCCTCCCTTCCATTTACCCCTCCTTCCATCTACCCTTCCTTCCTTCCACTTATCCTTCCTCCCTCCATCCTGCTCTCCCTTCTGAAAGGGAGGCATAATCATGATGAGGCATGATCGGCTCTGTCTTATAGATGGGAAACTGAAGCTCTGCAAGGTGAAATAACTTGCTCCTCCCTTCCTTTGTCTTTGTTCTTCTTTATTTCCAGTCATTCCTTCAACAGTTCATTACATTTCAAGGATCTAGCTGGTCCAGGAACTGTGGTAGGTACTCGGTGTGTGGTAGGGGAAGGAAATAAACATAAACCCTGACCTCCTGGAGCTTAGAGTGTAGTTGAGGTGACACTCGACAACTAAATAAACAAATATATATAAATTGCAATTTGAGAAGGATGCAATGGAGCAGATGTACAGCACACTGTGATAGTGAGTGATGCTGGGCTCTCTTGCAGCTAGGTGTGGTCACGTAATGATGCTATTGATAATTAGAAGGGAGGATAATGGGTGAAACTCAAAGGCAGGGGAATGCCTTCTAACTCGTGGTCTTTCATTAGCTGGAGTGAGGCTGTGATGACTGGCCACCGGGACCATGCTGATGATGGCAACCACTGACGGGTGGTAAAGCATGGACTAGGTGGAGCTTGGGAGGAGAGGTGAGAGCTACAGCTCTGTCTCCATCCATTCTCTGTTTATTTGAATATCTCTGGTCACATACAGTGGCTGAGCTCTATATCCTAATTGATGCAGGGGTTTAGGGAAGATATCCCTGTGCTTTTCTTCCCCGCGTTAAGTTAGAAAATGTGCAAAAAGAGGCTGCTATCCACCTCTAGGGGTCAAAGTTGTGCAGGGGCAGGAGGACCCCTTGCTGCAGGGTTGCAGCTCTGGTTCTTGTGGGGACTGTCACATAGGCCACGCTGCTCTGCCGCCACGCCTAGTGCCCTCCTTTCCTGTCAGGCCTCCACATGCATCTCTATATCCTTCCAGGGACACATGTCCCTGCTGCCACCAGACCCTTCCTGACAATGATGTCCTCAGTGAAGGAGGGTGTCACCCTCCTGTGCCCTTCAAAACTGGCCCTCTCATTGTCCCATTTCCACAGTGGGGACCACATTGACTGTGTTGTCAGTCTGTTCTGACCACCTTGGTATTTTCACCAGCAACTTTGATAGTTTTTGCCCAAACCAACAACCTCGGGATCAGTCCAAAGCCCTGTGGCAGGGTGGGAGAGATCACATTTGTGTACATGGTTCATAGCTCCTGGTGCCCTAACTACTCTGCCAAACCACAAAGGCTAGTTGTCAGGAGGGATGAGCACAGCCTCATTATCCGTGATGTCAAAACACGTTTGCAGGTCAAAGTACTGGGGGCAATGTCCCAAGGCCACATACATCTCCCCCCACACAACCCAGTGTCGGTGCAGTTAGTGAGTTTCTGTACACCTCGGGTTTTCCTTTGAGGGGGGATTTGGAAGATGCAGAACAATTTTACAAATTGGTTCTTTCCTGGGGAAAATAAAAAATATAGCTGTGGGGACTTCCGGGAAACATGGCACTATAGACAGAAGCACCACGCCCTCCCTCCACAGCAAAGATCTGAAAAACTAAGTCAAACAGACACACGTGTAAATCCTGAAAACCTAAGCATCAAATGGAGAGATAAAGAACTCAGCCAAGCACCTAATGGAATAAGAAACCGACCAAGAACAGAGAGAAGAGATACATGCAGAGGTCCCCCATCAGCTACCGCAGCACAGATCCACCATCTTGGACACCTATTGGAGATCAGTGAACAGTGGGTACGAGAAAGCAGCTTCACGGAGCTTCTAGCAGGAGACAGAACAACTGGTAACCATCGAAACACGCTTTCCCACCCCCCACCCTTCTTCACCCCCACTCGGCCTCATCTGCTTCCTGTGGCCACAGTCTCTTGGCCAGGTAGCACCAGCTTCACCCTTGAGCCTGTTCGATTCCACCAGGTTGCACTGTTGGCTCCCTGAGTGCCATTTGTTGGCTGCTGGTGTTAATTTTTTCCGCTTCATTAGATTTCTTCCTTACCTCTCACCACGCCCCCCCTCCTTTCTCTCAAACACCTGGCTCCATATGCAGTCTTTGCTTCTTTCTGAAAGGCTGAGGGGTGCTGCTCGACTGTGGGACTGCTTCCCTGCCCGTGCTACTGCTGATGGAACCCCAGGGGCTTTTTTTGTTTGTTTGTTCTCGTTTGATTTGTTTGTTTGTTTTCTTTTTCTTTTCTTGGCTTGGGAGCCCCAAGGGCAGTGCTGGATGGCTTGGGAGCTTCTTCTTTACTCTGTGCAGACGCACAGTGACCTCCCTGGGGGCATTTCTTTTTTCTTGTTTGTGTTTTTTTTTTTCTTGGTTTTATTTTTTTGTTTCTTTGTTTTGTTTTCTTCTCTCTCTTTTTCTCTTTTTGTCTTTCTTTATTTCCAGTTTCTCGTCTCTCTATACTTACCTTCTCTTCCTATCTCCTGAATACCTGGCACTGTGTGAAGCTCTACCTCTTCTAGTCAGGCTGTACTTCATGGCCTGAGACCAACTTCTCCAGTCCTACCAGCCACACCGGTGGGATCCTTGGGGGCTTTTTTTTCCCTCTAATTTCTAATTATTCATTTTTTTCTTTTACCCTTTTTCCTTTTGTTTTTTTCCGTTTCTCAGTCTCTCATCTCTCCGCTCCAACAACAAGCTTCCTTAGCACTCTTTGTTGTTGTTGGTTTGTTTGCGTGCGTGTTTTTGGCTCCTGTTCCTCTCTCCTCTTTCCCACACCCGTCTTAGCTCCACACATAACAATCTCCTCCCTTCTTCCTGCCTACCTGCACCGTGCACTGAACATCACAACCCCAAGCAATACAGGCACGGCCAACCAGAACCTGCCCTGCCCTGATTCCCAGCCCACCGTATCGGCCCTAGTAAGTGCCACAAACAACTCATCCTAGCAACTCTTCTTTGGCTGGACCTGCCAAACTCCCTGAGGGACTGAATTGTTGGGTGGAGGGCTGTGGGGACCATGGTCTCAGGGACCATCTAACTCAATTGGCATAACATAGTTTATAGAGAAAATGTTCTATATTCTACCTTGGTGAGTAGCATCTGGGGTCTTAAAAACCTGTGAGCAGCCACCTAAGATACTCAGCTAGTCTCACCCCTTCAGGAGCAAGAGAGAATGAAGAGAACAGGATACAAGGAAAAGTTTAGTCCAAAGAACTAATGGACCACAGCTACCAAGGCCTCCACCAGACTGAGTCCATCATAGCTAGATGGTGCCTGACTACGACCACTGACTGATCTGACCGGAATCACAACAGAGGGTTCTGGACAGAGCTGGATAAGGATGTAGAACAAAATTCTAACACACAAAAAAAGACTAGATTTACTGGCCTGTCAGAGACTGGAGAAACCCCCGAGAGTATGGCCCCTGGACACCCTTTTAGCCCAGTGGTGAAGTCACTCCCAAGGTTCACTGTTTAGCCGGGGATTGGACAGCCCCATAAAACAAAAAGGGACTAATGAGGCACAGCAGTCCAGGGACAAGGACTAGAAGACAGGAGGGGACAGAAAAGCAGGTGATAGGGAACCAGGGTTGAGAAAGGACGGTGTTGACATGTCGTGGGGTTGTTAACCATTGTCATAGGGCAATACGTGTACTAACTGTGTAATGAGAAAGTATTTGTTCTGTAAACCTTCATCTAAAGTACAAAAAAAAAAAAAAGAATTATGTATGTGAGATCAAATTGACAACAGCAACTCAAAAGGTTTGAGGGGAAACCTAGGGGACAGTGAGTTGTGATGGAATAATTTGGAAGAGGATAGTGAGAATAGCAGCACAACTGGAAGAATGTAATCGATGTCACTGAATTATACATGTAGAAACTTTTGAAATGGTGTATCTTTGGCTACGTATATTTTCACCGAGAGAAAAAAAAATGTCCTCCAAGGTTAAGAAGGGAAAATGTTGAGATGTCATGGGGTTGTTAACCAATGTCATAAAACAATATGTATGCTGACTGTTTAATGAGAAACATATTTGTTCTGTAAACCTTCATCTAAAGTACAATTAAAAAAAATAAAAAACTCCATTTTCCTAAAAAAAGGACAGACTTACTGGACCGGTAGACACCAGAGCAACCTCAGAGATTACTGCCCTGGGACACACTTTAAACTTGGAACTCAAACCACTCCCAGAGGTCACTTTTCAGCCAAATGACAGATTGGCTCATAAAATACATAATATCACTCATGAGTACTGTGCTCCTCTAAATAATCATCTAGATGAAACAAACGGTAAAAATTTACCCTAGACCAAAGATGAGAAGGTAAGGGGCGGGGGGCAGGGAAGCTAGATAAATGGAAACAGAACAACCAGAATGGAAATAATGAGAATGCTGACACATTGTAAAAAATGTAACCAATGTCACTGAACAATATGTACAGAAATTTTTAAATGAGAACCTAATTTGCTGTGTAAACTGTCACCAAAAACACGATAAAATGTTAAAAGAAATTAAAAAATAAAGCTGTGATGAAACTATTTTTGGTTTATTCCTTTTATTCCATTTAACTCACCTCCATTTTCTACCCTAGTACACCCCCAAAATTCCTAGACTTGCTGAAATAGGGTTGAATTTATTTCCCAAGGCAGGATTGAGTTGTAAATCAGAGGCCCTGGGTTGAAATCCAAGGCGCTGCTGGTAACTCGCTGTGCAAGTAAACCTCATGTTAACCTTGGTGTTCCCATTTTCTAATGTAAATGACGATGCTACCTCCTGGGGTCCCTTAAGGATTACCTGACATACAATATACATACTCGCTGGCACAAACGAAGTGCATGAGGCTAGTTTTCTTCCCTTTCCACCAAGGCCAAGTGTAATTACACCCAGTTCATTCCTTTATTCCCTTTTCAGAAAGATCCCAGAGGAAAATGAAGGACTCCATTTATTAACTGTAACATCCTCATTTATTAGGTGTTTACTGTGTGTCTCGGGGATATTAGATACATTGTATCAGTGGTTCCCAACCAGAAGTGTTTGCAAATGCACACGTGTGTATGTGTGTGTGTGTGTGTGTGTGTGTGTGTGTGTGTGTGTATGGCAGGGGTGGATTTGGATCACCTCAATGACTAAGGAAGGAGGGTGTTACTGGCGCTTAGTGGATGAAGGTCAGGGACGCAAAAGAATAGTCCAGAAGAGTCACATGCAATGAATAGTGTCCTGCCAAATGCCAATAGTGCCCTTGCTGAGAAACCCTTTCTGTCACTTCGTTTAATCCTTATGAGAACCTTAAGGAGTCCCTGGGTGGTGCAAACAGTTAATTGCTCCCTGCTCTCTGAAAGTTTGGAGGTTGGAGTCCACCTAGCGGTGCTCTAAAGAAAGGACCGGAGATTTACTTCTGAAAAATCAGCCGCTGAAATCCTGTGGAGCACAGTTCTACTCTGACACACATGGGGTTGACCGCAACTGGTGGTTGGAGAACCTTAAGAAGTAGGTATTATTACTGTTTTACTCATGGGTAACCTGAAACTCAGAGTCTGAACAAATACTTGGTAAGCAGCGGGGCAAGATTCAAACTCCAGACCAGGGCTCTTAAGCGCGACATTTTTCATAACACAGAATATCTAGCAAATTAGATACAACCACACTGTTGTTTTGCTTTGTGTTATACTGTTCTGTTTTCCTGCCTAACTGCCAGGAATAGTTGAGGTACCTCTGTTGCAAGCAAAGTTTTCCATAAAAGGCTATTGAAAGCCTGAAGTTCCCACTTCAAGACTTGGAAGAGGTACCTAAATGCATTTTTCCTTTTGGGGACTCACTTTTCCCACCCCTGTCCCTCAAAGCCAGAGAGAGTGAGAGAGAGAGAAGCCACCACCACCCCTGCCTTTGTCTCCGGCACCAGGGACGTGCCGCAGTACTCACAGCAGGGTCACTGGTTTTCAGCTCCACATCACCTTCTGCTCACAGGAAAATGGCGTTTGAAGATCCCAGCAGCCTCGTCAATATTTGTCAGGTCAATTCCTGGAACTGACTTGGAGACAATGACCAGCACACAGGAAGGGATCCTTTCTTCTCAGTGGCTGTCCTGTCTGCCTGTCCTACACACACAGATGAGTTGTAGTTCTGGACCAAGCTAAGTTTGAGGATCTTCTGATATTGATGAGATGGCAGGGGGTCTGCCGATCTGGGTGCCTCGCGTGTTCCAGACAGTGTTGTTTATTGATTACCCTCGCAGCAGAAGTGCAAGGGAGGCACGGTGTCGCTGTTTTATAGACGGGAAACTGAAGCTCTGTGAGGTTAAGTAACTTGTTCAGGAAGTGGATGACGAGGCATAATCAGAAGACCGATCTGACTCCCCGGCAAGCCTGCACCACCGCGGGTGTAGCAAGTTGGCAGGATACAAGATCAACATACGAAAATCAATTCATTGTCTATGTACTAGCAACCAACGATCTGGAAAAGAAATTAAGAAAACAATTCTATTCATAATAGCAGAAAATAATACAATAGATTTGTTTTTTATAAATAAATTTAACAACAAACAAGTGCATGATACATACATTAAACACTACACAGCACTACGGAGAGAAATTTACAGATTTAAATAAATGGAGAGAAACTCCATGTCCATGTATTTCCTACCCATAAACCCATTGTCATCGAGTCGATTCTGACTCATAGTGACCCTATAAGACAGAGGAGAACTGCCCCATAGGGTCTCCAAGGAGCCACTGGTGGTTTCGAACTGCTGACCTTTTGGTTTGCAGCCAGATGCTTAACCACTGCACCACCAGGGCACAGTATTTACTAGAAGGCTCAGTACTGTTAAGAGGACAGTTCTCCCGAAATTGATCTATAGAGAAAACAAAATCTCAATGAAACTGTCAGCTGATTTCTCTTTTGTAGAAATCGATGGGCTGATCTTAAAATTTATATGGAAATATAAAGGATCTTTTCTTTCTTTCTTTTTTTTTTTACGTTTCTTACCACAGAGTAGCTTTGCTTTTGGGTTTCAACTAATGTGTCCTGCAGTGTTTAATTCTAAAGCTGGACTTTGAAATGCATTTCGTGTGCCATCTGGTGAGATGGTTTTGAATCACATACCTGGGGCCAAAAAGGGAGGCCCCATTTGTAGACAGTTCTGAGTGGGACTGAGCATGTGTCCACACAGTGAGCATGCTTTGGGGAGAGAAAAAGCTAAACCCATTGCCGCTGAGTTGAACCTGACTCATAGTGGCTCTATATGGGGAGAGAGGTGGATGCGAAATTCTGCATGAATACCTGCCTTTTCTTCCAAACTCCCAGCTGGTAAACGAGCTAGAAAGAAACATTTTTGTTTTAAATCTTTCCTGATATTGCTAACAATAAGAACAATAATATTGATAAGTAGCATTCATTTGTTTTTGTTGCTGGTTGCCATGGAGTCAACTTGACTCATGGTGACCCCATATACAACAGAGCAAAATGGTGCCCAGTCCTGGCACCTGCCCATCTTCACGATCATTGGTAAACTCAAATCCATTGTTGTGGCTCCATCGTGTGTTCTGAGTGCCGTCCAACCTAGAGGGCTCATCTTCCAGTGCTATATTGCACAATATTCTGTTGTGATCCATAGGATTTTCGTCAGTTCATTTTCAGAAGTAGATCCCAGGCCTTTCTTCCTAGTCTGTCTTAGCTTGGAAGCTCTGCTGAAACCTGTCCACCATGAGTGACCCTACTGATATTTGAAATAGCCATGGCATAGCTTCCAGAATCACAGCAACACTCAAGCCATCACAGTATGACAAACTGACAGATGGGTGTGGTGCTGCCTTCATTGGGCACCTACAATTTGCAAGACATCGTCTTCCGCGCTTTCTGTGTATTTACTCACACACTAACCCAATTGAAGTAGCGCTACCACTAATCGCCAGTTTTTAGAGGAGGAAAGTGAAGCACAGAGAGAAGAAATGACTTACTGAAGGTCACAGTTAGGAGACGGTAGAGCTGGCCTTCCAGCCCTGGTTTGGAAGCTGGGGCTGGAGACCTTGCAATCCTCTTTCCTGAGCTTGGTCCCTCTTGTCCCTGCCTCCATACTATGTAACCGTCATGCTGGTGAAGTCCCCAGTGCCACCTCATCAGGAGCCACTTCTGCCTGCACCTTGGCACAGGGGTAGCAGCAGTTCCCTGGGGGCAGGAACACCCGTCGAGACGACTATACTCCATGGAACTTTCCAGGGCTGGTGCCCAATGGAGAGCCTTTTATCCTTATCACTAGCTTAGTTCCTTGCTCCTGAAATTTAGTAAAAGGGCCAGTTGAAATTCACACTTGCAATATCCCTGCCCTGCCCACCCCGGATTTCACGCTCCATGAGGCTGCCTTAGGTCTGTGCTGTGCCCCGGCCTCAACACAGTGTCCGGTCCCCAGGATGTGCTCAGTCCAGTGAGATACCTGCAGATGGATCCACGGACAACTGACGGGCAGGTGGCAGGGCACATCCAGGGTCTGCCAAGGGACCACAGAGGTCTCCAAACTCAACGCCCACCCAGAAAATCCAGATGCCCGGGTGCCCTGGGTTGGTCTGCTGACATGTTGCCTATGACGTATTTTAAAATGCTTCAGCACAGACGCAAACGAGGTGGTAAATTATTTTTATTTACATTCTAGTGGCAGCTCCTTCACAGAGGAGCAACCCAGACCAGGAACAGACCCTGCAGGGGGAAGCGTATTCCCATTTGGAAGATTCTCTTCAGAAGCCCATGCTCCCAGCTCTGGCTAGCTTGATCTAGAATCAGCACGAGAGGCTTAGTTAATAAGATCAGTGGATAGCTTCTTTAAAAAAGCGATTTTTCCACTGGCAAACCACGTGGTGTTCAAGATGTATGGATGGGCTAGAAATATTACACAAGCACCTTTGTCCTTGTTTGAACAAGAGTTGGTTCTGACTCATACCGACCCTATATGGGAAGAGAGGTGGGTGCAAATTCTGCATGAATGCAGAATGGTGTCCTGGGCTCAGGATTCTGAATCAGTTGTTTGTTGAGACTCTTTTTGGAAGTTTTCTCACCTAACTCTGATTAGAAGGTTAGCAGAATCTGCCTTTCAAATATTTTCACTTCTGTCTTGAATGAGACTTTCATGTATTGCGAAGGACAGGCATCTGAAGGAGCAGAGAGCTGGGACCTCACCGAGCCGCCAGAATGTTCTATGACTGCCCTGAGGCTGTTCTTGGTGATAAAAGTCTGAGTGGTCACCAGAACCCACCTGAGACCCGCGTTCATTGTAACCTGGCACCCAGGAGAGTGGCTGTGGAGGAGGAGGCTGACACCCCTACCCTGATGATTGGAGATGCCCCATGGCTACCTGAAAGAACTAGTGGTTGTGAACTACAAATGTGCCTTCAGCCAGCCTTCACACCTGCTCTTGTCGGGCGTCCTGTCTGCTCTGAACACTGTTCGTGCGTGGAGCCATGTCCCATCTACTGTGGTCCTTAGAGGAAGGGACGACTGGTTTCTCCTTGTGCTTTAGTGGAACTCCTAGGGGCAGAAAACTGTACAAAGCTTGGTACAGGCAGCAGTATGAAGAGTCAATCAGAGGCGTGAGAGCTGGGCTTTGGTCCTGGTCTAATTCTTCGCTGGAGTGTCCCTGGGGCCTGGGTCAGGTGTTTCTCCCTTTGAGTCTCTGCTTCTCTGTTTGTAGAATAAAGCGGAGGAAAGGCAGGGAATTAGGTTGGAGGCGGACTAACTGTTAACGGCAATAATGCGGATTGGAGCCGCCTGCCGCAATAGCCAATTCTGAGACAGGGGGGAGGTGAGCAGCAAGAGGTTTATTATATATCGATATATAGGAGACAGAGTGGAATAGATTCCTCCAAAAAACCCGTCTCCCCCACTGGAGATTAGCTGAAGGCTTTTATAGAGACAGGATTATGGGTCTTAGAAGTTTGTGTTCGTTTCCCCTTGAAGTGGTCATGTCTCAGATGAGTTAATCTTCTACTGGTATTCTTGGGGGTTATCTGGTGACATTTTGGGGGATTATCTGGCGACATCCTGGTTTTTCTTGTCACAAGATGGGTGCTTTGTTTGGTTTTTCATCCTTAGATCATTATCACTTGTTTTCCACCCTCCAAGGAGGAACCTCGGTTAATCTTAAACCTTTTTAGGGACTGGAGAAAGAAGATCATGAGACAACGTGGTGGTTAGCAATGGGGAGTAAATAACAGTGAACCAGGCCTGTGCAGCCTCTTCCATAACCAGTAAGCAAGGTACAACCGCAGCTTACATTAAGCAAGGTACGCACGGGCTGACTTGTGTTTACTTACTAATCTGTAGTGCACAATTTCACATGGGTTTTACCACACTTTGTGCACTACAGATTAGTAAGTAAACACAAGTCAGCCCGTGCGTACTTTACTTATTGGGTAATCCGTCCCTGGATTAGGTTCTGCTGAAGCTTCCGCCAGCTCTCCGGCAGAATTCCTCTCTGTTTTCTTTCTTTCCATGTAAAAGAGCTTGTGAAAGCCCACGTGAGGCCCTGGGCATATGGTGGCGTGGGGCGCCCCAGGAAAGGGGCGTTCGGGACTGCCGTAAGGAAGGGCTCTGCTGGAAGCTACAAAGGCCGCCCTGGGTGATGGGGTGAAGGGGGAGGAGCCAGAGAGCATGTCTGGTAGAGAGGGAGGGAGGGAAGCATGGTGGGCAGGACTCCGGGGCTCCCGCTGACGCCATGGCCATTGCACTGTGTGTGGCTCCCAGGCATCAGAGTAAAGAGCCAGACCGTGGTCGCTACAAAGCTGCGGGGAGGAGGCTGAGCACCCCAGAGGGGTGTGTGTGTGTGTGACAGAGTGAGAGGGAGCAGTGCGTGTATGCATATGCGTGTATATCTATGTGTGATGTGAGTGTGTGTGTATGTGAGAGTGTGTGTATGTGTGTGAGTGCGTATGTGTATGTTTGAGAGTTTGCATGTGTGTAAGAGTATGTGTGTGAGCAGTGTGCGTGCATATGTGTGTATACATGTGTGTGCATGGGAGTACGTATGTGCGTGAGTGTGTGAGTGTGAGTGTGTGTGCCCGTGAGTGTGTATGTTTGAGAATGTGCATGTGTATGAGTGTGTGTGTGTGAGTATGTGTCTGAGTGTGTCTGTGAGTCTGTATGCATGTCTGTGAGTGTATATGTGTGTGAGTGAGAGCTTGTGTGTGTGTGCATAAGAGTATGTATGTATGTGTGGGTGTGTGAGTGTGTGTGAATGTGTATATGTGTGAGAGTTTGTGTGTGTGTGTGAGTGTGCAAGCGAGTGCATGTGTATGCATGCGTGTGTGTGAGAGAGAGAGATTGAGTGTCAGAGTCAGGAAGGCTGCCAGCCCGAGGAACCTAGATGAAAATCACTCCCCGGCACTCAGAGATACCCTTGCAGCCCATAAATGAGGCCTTGCCATTTCCTGCTGCAGAAATGCAACTGGCTCTCTGGTGCTCCTAAAAAAGTCCACATTGAGTTCACTCGCACCTTTTGGTTAGCACCTGATGCTTAACCGTTTGCACCACCCATAGACTCCTACTTCCCAAGGCAAACCCTGTTAATTCCCTAGAGCAGCAAGAGAACTTCCTGCAACATTGGAAACAGGCTACAGCTGCACTCTCCAGTGTGGTAGCCACTCAGTCACCTGTGGCTATTGAACACTTGAAATGCGGCTAGTGTGAACGAGGGACAAAATTTTAAATTTTATTTCATTTTAATTTAAATAACCATCTCTGGCTTGTGGCCTCTGTATTGGACAGCACAGCCCTAGACTTTGACAGAAGCTCTTCCTTCTCTGCAGTGGTTCTCCTGAATCAAGAGTAAACAACCACATTTATTGAGCACTTACTATACGCCAGACACTGTTGCGGGCACACTCATTAACATTATACCCATTTTCAAGGCAGTAACTTGGTTTCAGTGCTTTGCACAAGGTCATATACTTAGTGAGTCACAGAAGTGTTGGATGGACACTTCAGTCGTCCTCTGACATGAACTCCGGTGACATCTCAAACCACTGACAGCTCTCTCCTGCCTGTGACTGTCTCCTGCCCTAGCTTGGTGTCTCCATCTTCTCTAGGCTCCGTCTGCTGTTCTGTGTTCCCCAGCCTCCTGCGCTGCCTCCTTTTACTTTACCCAACCCTACTTGCAGTCTGAAAAATAAAGAGCCTCCGCAGTACCCTGAAGGATCCCCTTGTGGTGGTTAAGGTTGTGTGCCAACTTGGCTGGGCAATGATTCTGAGGGGTTTGACAGTTATGATGTGGTTTGGCAGTTATGATATAGTTTGGCAGTTATGTAATGATGTAATCACCTCCATGATGAGATCTGATATAACATCATCTCCTCCATGATGAGATCTGCTATGAGCAGCCAAGCAGTTAAAAGGGAGTTTCCTTGTGGGTGTGGCCTGATCCAATATATATGGACTTTCTGGCAAAGCTCGCCGACTTTTGCTCTGCTCTGGATCCTGCATTCAGCTCTTCATCATCTAAACTCCAGTTCTTGGGACTTGAGCCAGCAGGCCATCTTACCCGTTGATCTTGGGTTCATCAGCCAGTGCAGTTGCATGAGTCAGGAGAGGCCTTCAGCCTGATACCTGACCCACGGACTTGGGACTCTAGTCTCTACAACAGCGTGAGCCATTTTCTTGACATAAATCTCTCTCTCTCTGTATATATGTCACTGGTTTTGCTTCTGTAGAGAACCCAGCCTAAGACACCTCTGATCACCCCTGCCTTTGCATCTTTGCAATGCTGTTTCCTCTACAGAACAAGCCCTTCCCAGCCTTCTGCACGTTCATGTTCAGTCCATACTTGTGGTTCAGATGCCACCACCTCCTTGAAGTCTTTGCCTAAGCCCAGGTGAGGGTGACTTCTCTCTGCTCAGAAGCTCCTCAGCACTTTGCCTGCCCTCCTCAACCCCCCTTGTGGCACTGATCATTGTCTTTCTTGTATAAATGTCTTTTCTCTCCTCCCAGACCAGGAGCATCTGGGAGTGATGCTGATGACACACACACACACAAAAATTACTAAGAGATTGACCCTAAGACTTTGATAGTCCCTTTTATCTTACAGTTAATACCTTTTGATACTAGCCATAATAATTACAGAAATGATAATTATGTTATACTAACACTTATTGAACACTGACTAGCTCCCAGGCATCCTTCTAGGCACTTCATAAATAGTAACTTACTTTGTCAACAACCTACGAGTTTGGTAATATTATTATCTCTGTTTTAAAGGTAATCATCAGTGCTTTTTTTGTTTGTTTGCCTTTATGAAATAAGTCCAGGGGATTCAATATCAGACGGCTGGCAGAGCCAGCTGTGCTAGCACCTGAGTCTGCAGTGACATATTAGCTACATGTCCTTGGGCAATCCACTTTCTCTTCAGAGCCTCAATTTCGTCATCTGTGAAATGGGGGGTGTAACACTCCCCATCTGGCAGGTGACTGTGAAGTTCAAGTGATAACATGTATCCTCAGCACCAAGCTCACTGTCCATGTGTGGCCAGTGCTCAGTTCCCAGGTGTGACTATTCAGCAGCTGTCTTCCACAGCCTGTCTTCCACCTCTGCTTGTACATCATCACCTGCCTCGGACCCCAGAAAGTTGTTGCAGATACCTACCTCTTCTGGAGCAAGTGGTCTCACTTCCTCAGTCTCAGGGCTGACAAGTCTTGTTCCAGCTGCCCCATCTTGCCCTGTCCAGGGAGGATGAAGAAGTCCAGGGCATCTCCACTGTAGTCCATTTGCAGCACAGAGCAGTTCAACCCTGGATCCACCCCAAAAGCAAACTCCTCCACCTGGTGCGTCATGAGGACCTGAACAGTGACCGACTTGTCCACTAGGAATGAAGAGCCTTTACTTGTCTCTGCTGGGTCAAAGGGCTTCTCCCTCTTGGCTAGTACAAAGAAAGAAGAAAAGTTTTATGTCAAGATGCAATTAGTGAGGTGATAGAAGCAAAAATGGTGAAGTAAGGACATCCAAAGGAGTCCTTGTGGCGCAGTGGTTAACTCAACTGCTAACCGAAAGGTCGGTGGTTTGAACCTACCGGTCGCTCCACAGGAGAAAAGACCTGGTGATCTGCTTCTGTAAAGATTACAGCCTTGGAAACCCTATGGGACAGTTCTACTCTGTCCTATAGGGTCACTGTGAGTCAGAATCGACTTGACAGCAATGGCTTAAGGACAGCCAAAAATCCTCTCATAACTTCTATTGAACATTGTACTGGAGGTTGTAGCCAGGGCAATGAAGTCAGAAACAGAATATGAAATGGTGCAGCCTCTGTGGAAAACAGTTTGATGTTTCCTCAAAGAGTTAAATTATATGATCCAGTAATTCCACTCTGTTACAGATTGAATTGTGTCTCCCAAAAATATGTGTTGTAAATCCTAACATCTATACTTGTGGTTACTAGCCCATTTGGGAATGGGTTGTCTTTGTTACGTTAATGAGACAGGATTAGCGTAAAGTGTGTCTTAAATCAATCTCTTTCCAGGTATAAGAGAGATTAAACCATCAAGTGAAGGAAGCAGAGATGGGGAAGAGAAATATCAAGCCACACGAAGACTGCCCAGGATTAGAAGCTCAGAAGACACAGGACTTGCCTCCAGAGCTGACAGAGAGAGAAACACTTCCCTTAGAGCTGGTGCCCCAAATACAGACTTCTAACCTCCTGAACTGTGAGAAAATACAATTCTGTTTGTTAAAGCCACCCATTTGTGTTGTTATAGCAGCACTAGATAACTAAGACACTCTCCTAGGTGTGTATCAAGGGAATTGAAATCATATGTCTATACAAAAACTGGTACGTGAATGTTCATAGCAGCATTATTCGTAATAGCCAATAAGTGGAAACAACCCAAATGCTCATCAAAGGATGCATGGATAAACAAATTGAAGTATAGCCATACAATAGAATATTATTCTCCCATAAAGAGGAACGAAGTACAGATACATGTTACCTTATGGAAGGACCTTGAAAACATTATGCTAAGTGAAAGAAACCAGACACAATGGCCACATATTATATAATTCCATTTATATGAAAAGTCTAGACTAGGGATATCCATAGACAGAAAGTAGATTAGTTGTTGCCAGGGACTGGACTAAGAAGGGGAATAAGAAGTGACTGTCATTGGGTATGGGGTTTCTTTTTAACGTGATGAAATGTTCTTGAATTACGTAGTGGTAGTGGTTGTACAACCTTGTGAATATAGTAAAAACCTCTGAAGTGTACACTTTAAAATGGTAAATGTTATGATATGTGAATTGTATTTCAACAAAAAATAGAATTAAATTAAATGGGCAACATATATAAAGTTCAGGAAATTTGGTAGGGGCTCAGTGCGTATCGGTTCTCCTTCCCTTCTCTTTCCCTTTACAGGATGGATGGATGGATGGATGGATGGATGGATGGATGGATGGTTGGATGGATGGATGAATTGATGGATGGGTGGATGGATGGAAGGATAGATGGACAGATGGGTGGGTGGATGCATGGATGGATGCATGGATGGATAAACGGGTTGACAGGTGAATAGGAGGATGGATGAACAGATGAATGTGTGAATGGATAGATGAACGGGTGGATGGAGGGTAGATGGTGGATAGATGAATTAGGATTTCTACCCAGTGAAAGAGCACTGTGCATTAGACTAAACCAATCTCATTGCTGTCTAGTTGATTCTGACTCATAGTCACCCTATAGTACAGCGTAGAACTGCCCCATATGGTTTCCAAGGAGCGGCTGGTGGGTTTGAATAGCCAGCCTTTTGGTTAGCAGCCCAGCTCTTAACCACTGTGCCACCAGGGCACTGCACTGTGCAGTAGGAAGATGAAAAAATATAGAAGGTGCAGTGGGGTCCATGCTGAGGCAGAGGAAAAAGGAAATTGATGCGGATGCTGCAGTGGGTCACATCTGTCTGAGGGCTTCTCTTCGACACTCCTTCCCCAGTTTGTCTTCCTCATGACCTGGCTACCCCTCACTCCATAACCCCTTTTCAATAACTCAATGCCCTTGTAACCTCCTGCCCTCCATCAAAGTCTGCTCAAGAGCCATTTATACTACCATGTGAATGACTACCACCAACTTTTCTTCCAGGGACACATGCATTAAGTCTTACCTCTGATTGAGAAAAGGTTTTGAGGAATTCAGCCAACAAGTGAAGCAATTATTTCACCAGAAATGGGGAAGGAGAAGGCCCTTTGCCGAGAGCCACAGAAGTACTGGCACACATGGCCACTTGTCTGTGTCAGGCCAGCCCTGAAGTGACAGCCACGTGCCCAACAACCTCTTTGTGAACACTGAACTTGTGTAAAGGGAATAATACTGTACTGAGCAGATATGATGAAAGCGAAAAGGAACTGTATGAAGAATCATTTTGCAGAATGAGTAATTCATTTGCAAAACTGCTAATTTCTCTCCATTTCCATTTATCTGACTAGACAGTCTTTGTTTTGTAGTTTTGTGCTTTTATTTTTGGTCTACTGTGGACTTTTCTCTTTCAGCTATACTCACAAATATCCACCCATCTACCGGATTCTTTATTAACATGTCCTAAACTGACCTCATAATTTGTCCCTGTCCTGGGCCTGCTCCTTCTTTCCCTTCTCCAACGTGATCAAATTACCATGCTGTCATCGCAGTCAAGAAACTGGCCGTCACTGCACCCTTCAGTCACCCTCCTTCCCAAGGCCAAGTCCTAACCGTTCTTCGTCTTATATTCATTCCAAGCCTCACCATCTCTCCATCTGCTTGTTCCCCCTTGGCCCAGACCTTTGTCATCTCTTCCCTGAGCAGTCCTAAAAGCATCTGGAATCATCTCTCTTTCTCCAGCCTTGTTTCCTTAAACTGAATGTGTCATATCAGGGTTAAAGGTCGCCAACAAAAGACACAGACCACGCACACTCTATTAGTGCATGGGGTGCTTTACTCATGTAGAGAAGAGACAGAGCAAGATCAGCTTCTCTAGTGGGCACTGGTCTACCATGGCCAGCAAGACAATCCCCGCGTATGGTTCAGGAAGCTGTTCTACGTTCACCCTTCTCGTGCCATAGTCGCGAGACTCCGTTCCCTCCCCGCAGGGAACAGATATAGAAGTGAGGCTGGCCAGGCGCCATATGGTGCCCACATGTGTGCAAGAGTCAGAGAAAGTTACTGTGTGCCCAGAACAGGGGAAGCCTTCTCTGATAAGGAGAAGAAACTGAGGCGAGAGAGAGAGACCCAATTCCCAGCCTCCTTATCAGAGAACGCTCTGGGTCCAAGACCTTTACTTAGGCAGCCTGGTTGGGAGGCATGGAGACAGACCATTCCCCCAAGAGAATGTTCTCCAGGTTGCCAAGATGAACTCCACCAATCGGACTCCCACACAAAGACCGCTCCCTAGTGGATAGAGGCGAAACCATCCCTACAGCACAGCCTACCAAGATTTGATCCCTTCCCCTCTCTTCCGCCCCACTGCCCACCAGTACTTCCATCTGCAGTCTGCCCATTGGCAGTAGTAAATCACTCATGGTCTATCTCCCTGCCTGACCCCAGGCCCCATTCTAGCACACCCTACCACCAACACGTCTGTGCCTTGGTGGGACAATTCTTCTCCTGAGATGCTCCCTCTACTTGCCCATGGAAAATCCCTCTTCCTCATTCTTATAAACTGTCTTTAGCCATTACCTGTTTGAGGGGCCCTCGCTGACCCCTTTCCCATGGCGTCGCCAGCCTCTCCCTTCTCTCCTGCTTTTTATTACTGCATTGATTACATGTAGATTCTATGAGGACAGGGACCATTTATTTATAGTTCATTCACTAAATTTGGTTTAGCATCTAATGTGTGCCAGGCAGTCTGTGAGGTGCTGGGGCTACAACAGGGGCACTCAGGCAGACTCATTGCCCTTAAAGAGCTTTATGGGAAGACACACACTTAGCTAATGCCACAAGGTATGGGAAATGTATGTGGTGGGTACGAGCAGGCTTTGGGCACACCTAGCCCACTCTCTGGAAGGCTTTCCAGGGGCAGTGACAGCAAGGTGACGGGGAAGAGGAGGGAAGCGAGGCTGAGGCAGAGAGAACTGCCTGTGCAAAGGCCTAGAGGTAAATGAGAGCAAGGCAGGTTTGAGGCACAGAAAAGGTTCTGTGAAAGGAAACCTCAGCACTAGAGAGGCTGGCAGGGGAGGGGATGGGGAGTCAGGAGAGACACCATAATTCAAAGGCATCAATTCTTCTTTGGACAGCAGAATCATACAATCTATTCTCCAGTGATGAGTGTTATCTTCTCAGTGAGGCCGACCTTGACCACCCTAAGTAAGACCACACCCTCCCACACCACCATAGGCACCACTAGCACTTCTGATCACCCTTACCTGCTTCACTTAAATCTGGTCGATTTATTACACTGAATGTTTATTGTCCACTTCTCTCTACTAGCCTGAAATTGCCACAAAGACAAGATTTTTGTATATCCTGTTCACTGATATATCGCAAGCCCCTAGGACAGTCCTTCCTGGCACAGAGTGGACATTCAGTAAATCTTTGTTAGATGAATAGATGGATGGATGGATGGATGGATGAGGGATGGATGGATGGGTGGATAGGTGGATGGATGGAGAGATGGATCAATGATAACCAAAAATGCTTAGGGGACTTCTGTTTATTCCTAGCCCTGTGAATTTCTAGCTGCAGGACCTTGGGCAAGTTATGTTGTCTTCTTGAGCCTCAGTCTTCTTATCAATAAAATGGAAAGGTCACACTACCTTGAAGGTTTGTCGGTAAATGGGTCATGCACTCCCCCTCCACTCGGTAGAGCCTCCCTCTGCTCCCTCCCCAACCTCTTCCCCTATTTTATTTTTTATTTTCAAAATAGATGTCTAGGCTCATGATAGACATCTAGGAAGTGTTACACCAAA